GCAGCCACTGACTCCTGTCCCATCTGCCCTTCATAGCTACCCCAGGACAGAACAGAACTCTGGCTCTGGACGAGACTGAACTGAAGATCCACATGTGGATGAACACAACCAGTGACCCTGTTTTGTCGTCCCTCAGCCAAGCTTTAGTGCCAGGTTCTAGGCCTCAAGCCTGAATGTCTCCTTGTTGGCCCAGGAACAGGAAGGCTTTGGCAGTGGGGGGCTATGTTGTGGGGGTCTGGTGGGGAGATAGAGGGCAGAGGGACCCCTATGGGGTCAGCTAGCCCTAACTGTGCTCTGTATGGCACTGCGCTGAGCAGTCTAACTCTACACCATCTCTCCAGAGAGGGAATGGGGTGGAACAAGCCGCAAGGTCAGCCTCGGTTCCCTGATGAGAAGACACTGTTCTCGGCATGACAACGCGGTGCGGATGCAGTTGTCCTCTTCACAGCCCGGACCCCTGTGGGAGTGGGTGGGAGGAGCCCGGCATGGGGAGGACAGGGTGGCTTTGGGACCAAGTGGCTGGAAGTCGCAGCCTCCTAGAGCAGCTGCGTTAGGAGAGGGGCTGGGACTGGAGCAAGGCAGTCTAGCTCAGGGCCTTGAGCCCCGATGGTGTGGGAGTGTTCTGTTTCCGCTTTTCTATCTTGGGATAGGAGCAAATGGGCAAAGATGAATATGGTGACGCTGTAAATTCCACATCCAGGGTGACTGCAGTGGACTGCTGTGCGTGAGGGCTGGTGGCTGCCCATTTCAGAGAGCACAGCCAGGCCCTCTGATGGATGGGCTGGGTGCTGCTCTCAGGCTGAAAGAAAGAAAGACGCGGGGGCTGGGGATTTAGCTCAGCGGCATAAACGCCTGCATTGCAAGCAGGCAGTCGTGAGTTCGATCCCCGGTACCGATAAAAAGGAAAAAGACCAAAAAAAAAAAAAAAAAAAAAAAGAAAGAAAGACGATCCTGAATCAGGGGAAGAGATAGGATTTCAGGCCACTCTGTGTCAGGCACATACCTCCCTTCCAATTTCTGCAGACACCAGCTGGCTGCGGGAGGGGAAAGACAGATGGGTAGGTGGAACGAAGAAAGATCTTTTGGGTAGAGAAGGAAAATGCAGAAGGAAGCCTTTCTGGGCTCAAAGAAATCAACTTCGAAAGCTTCCCTTACAAAAATAGCCGCTGGCGAACACTTGCCTATTTATATCACCAAGAGCACTATGAGTATCCAGGGCTGAATCACTAGACACAAGTATGCCCACCTGACATGTGGGGAGGTCTCTACAACCCTCCGGAGCAACCAAGTCAGGACAAAGCCAGTGCTGGCACAGAGCAGTATCCTTACACACGGCTTTCACTTACAGAAATAGAATGTTCCTGAAAAGTTGGCTCTCAAATGAATTAATGTAATCATATGTTCCTAGTGAATCACATTTTAAAATTAGAGATCGACTGGGGGGAGGAGTGCCCTCCCCACCAAAAAGCACCAAACAATGGTGACCATAAGACCAAGTAAGATTCTCACCTGGTTCAGTAAATGTTAAAATGTCACTAGTTTCAAAGGCCATTATTAACGCTGATAACACAGACTCAAGGTCAGCAAAGACACCTGTGTCTGGGATGTGTAAGGGGTGTGCACTAGGCCTTGTGGGGCCAGAGAGACCTCAAAGGCTCCTGATAAGGTGCTTAGGAGAAAAAGACACAGAGCACTCAGCGCAACAAAGCTGCCCCAGGTTCAGATGCTGCCCCGTGGCTAGCCTGGCCCTTTAAGTGCTCTCTGGATTTAGAACAGTTCTACCTCCCTCTTGCCAGCAGAAGCCAACCCAGTGGCCTCTGAGACTGCTTTTTAAACTCTGCATTTATAAGCTGAAAGCTGTGGGCTGGGTGGAGCTGCATCTTAACTGCTCATTTAACTAACTTGAAAAAGAAACAGAAGGAGAGTTTTAATAAGGTAACAAGAGTGAAGGTATTTCAGGCTCCCTGAAAAGCGAAAGGCCTGGATGAACCAAGAATTGTTATTTTAAACTCGGAAGGGCACTTGTTCCAGGACTTGTGTGGGGAAGGCCTGTCTCCTCTGCTGTCACTCTCAGCATGCTGGTCACTGGGAACACAATCGTCCCAACGCATTTGGTTCCAAGGGGCAGATCCCGCATGCTCAACTTTCAAGGTCTCGGCAGCACGGCTGGTGCCTGTTCCATGCCGGCTCTGCTAAAAATCCACACTGTGTGCCACCACATGCATGGCTGAAGACCTGGGGGGCAGGAGCTCAAAACATGCAGTGTGTCTCCAATGCTGTCTGCTTGGGACGGGCCCACCATGGAGTCTGCCTTGGCTACAGACAAGAAAACTCTTCCTGATGACATTTGCCTTAGCCTGGCAGCCTCGTAGTACCAAAGTGAACAGTGCGTTAAAAACAAAACAAAGCAAAAAAAACCCCAAAAAACCAAACAACCAAAAACCACTTTTTGTTCCAATTTGATTGTGATAAACCAAGCTGGGGTAGAGGCACTAATTCTCTTCTGACTGCAGGATTCCGCGCTCTTCCACAGTGAGGTGCAGGGCCAGCCAAAGAGATGCCCTTCCCCAGCTCGCCGCCCACCCCGCCCGCTGTGGCCACATGCCTGCTGCTGGCCAGCAAGCACACCTGTGCGAATTTTGAGGTCAAGGCCTTTCTAAACGAAGACTTGCCCTCACTTCTCTTCCCCCGTCCCATACTTCGGATCACAGAGTTATGGAGCCACCTTTGACAACATCTGGGGCTTCTTAGCTCTGGGGGGTTCCAAAACCTGCAAGGGCTCCATGCATGGAATTCATTTGCTCATAAATCTGGATGAGGAGAAAACCGCTTTTTACTTACTTCTGTCTGAAATGTAGCATTTCCCTCAGTTACAACACAGGAAACAAGGCACAGTGGTATTAGCAGTATCATTTTCACCATCAAAATGACATATGTTCTCCTCTAACCATATCACACTTGTGGACTATCCTGAAATACCCTAAACACTCATCACGACTACACTAGGTCATTATTTGATACATTAAAGCAGCACGTATTACTATGTCACAGGTTTGGGTTCTTAAAACTTGTAATACTTTAGTGTAATTAAACATCTTTGTTACTATGGTATATTTGTTTTGTTTCTTGTTTTATTGAGATCAGGCTGGCCTTGAACTCATGGTAACCCTCCTGCCTCAGCCTCCTGAGTGCTGGGATTATAGGTGTGCACAAGTGTGCCTGGCTTATAATGCTATGTGTTTTAACTGGTACCTTTATGAACATAATTCTGTGAAGCAGAGCTGGGCTTCATTGTGCTGCCAACGGGATCTGTGATGCAAACCACACTGTCATTCTTCGCCTCAAGAATGGCAGGACAATAACATGTCAAACTTCCAGGCCTGTGGGTGGCCTTCTCAGTTATAGTCTCTTGGGCTGACTCTGGACCACACCTCTGGTTCTGGACCAGCCAAGTGGCAAGACACTTTCAAGAGCTGCCAGCACAAGGAAGGAAGGAAACCAACATTTCACTTGATTCTAATGGATTTAAATAGAAACAGCCACATGGGCCTAGTGGCTACCATATTGTAGAGCACTCCTCTGGCTGGTTACAGGCACGAGAGATGTGCTTGTGTCTTGTTTGAACTATTGTAGTTTGGGGTTATGCTTTTATAGCACCCTAATATATACTTTAACTAATACACATGTCTATATGACAATAAATATGGCAAAAAAGGTATATTTACAGAGAAGACCTCAACAAATTTTAAAAAACTTGAAATGCAGATAAGTGCAAGTGTTTTCCATTTACAGCATTTGCATGTATGTGATTTCACCTGACACTACTAATCACTCTGTGATAATGACTGCCCCAGTTTACTCTTAAAAATGGCTAAGTGACTTTGCTGATGTCACCACCATGCCAGGCATGAGCAACTCCGGGTCTAACTGCCATGCAATGTCCCTTCCTCTGAACATGTCCAGGGTGCAGCTGAAAGTGAGCAGGTGCACAAAAGGCCAAGCATTTAGCTCCCAGTGCTCACATTATCACCCCTCTGCCTCTGGGACAGAAGTCTGTCGCCGAGTCCTTTCTCTGGCCCTAAGAGGACTGGGTCCTGCAGACACTTGAATTTCCCTAATTTTTGGCCAAGCTCTCCTTCTTCTGCAGTTTGAGCTTCATGGACTCTTAGAGAAGAAGTGGTGGTCAGAAAACTTGCAAAGTCTTAGGCAGGACTCAGAAAGGACACTACTTTCTCAGCCAACACTACTGCAAAGGTCACTTCAGTGCCAGCTCACTCTCTTCTCTGTGACACTGATTACAGGGTAACATTATTGCAGCACAATGACGGAGCATGGATCCTAGCAAAAGGTGTCCTCCATGCTAAACACAAACAGCAGAGCGGGAGACGCCAGTGCCTAAGTGGGGGCCCCCGCTGTAGTTCAGGCTCCTTCACAGGCCAGAGCACCCTATGATCCTATAGTCTCTGCCTGTAAACTCCTATGCAGCCTAAAAATATTCTGTCCAGTTCTGCTGTCCCTCTTTTGGTTTGGTCTTTTTGAGAAGTTTAAACTTGATGATAGCTATATATAAGCATAATTTAAAAAACCAAATAATCCAACTTCTATGCTCCATAGAGACTCAATGCTTTTAAAATATTTACCTCTGTATATTAAAATAATGTCTGTATCTTTACTTCTTAAATGCTTGTGCTTCTGGGGCTCAGAATGATATATCATTTCCCATTTTGTTTTGGTGAATGAGGCTTTAGCTTGCTTTCACTGCCACGCCCCCAGGATTGCAAAATCACATTTTCCCATCCCATTGACCTAACTGTAACTGTGGTGACAGCATCATCCAGTGTGGAAATTATTATGAGTTTCCAACTGCTCCAGTTAGGAGAGTGTTAGAGTGTACCGGGATCACAGTACTCACTAGTTTTTGTCTTTGTGGAGTTAGGGATGAACCGGGGGCCTGGTGCACAGTAGGCGAGTACCTACTGCTGAGCCCCATCCCTGGCTCCTTGTTTTTCTTCTTTTTTTGGTTATTTGTAGACAGGGGTCTCACTGTGTGGTGCAGGCTGGCCTCAAACTCATAGGGATCCCCCTGCCTCAGCTCCTGAGTGCTGAGATCATAGGTAAGCACCACCACATCTGACTCACTTTTTTTCTTGTGCTTTACTGTTTTCCCTGACATTAAACTGCCTTTATTTGCTGCTGTTTTTGTTTCTCTGGTCTCACTGACAATGCAATCCCAAAGCCTGCCTTGGTCTACCTGTTCATACACGCCAGCTATTCAGCACCTTCCTCCTTACCACATTGGCCAGGTCCAGGCTCCGCCCTGCCTCGCCCCAGTGCCTCAGAGTCTGATCAGCCAGACAGCTCCCTCCGCTGTTCTCCAGGGCAGGACCATGAGTTTTGTGCCGGCCAGCAGCATCCTGATTCTCTGGAGCTTGTCCTTTGGTGGTTTGAAGAGAAGATCACAAGCAGAAGCTTATGAACCCCGTGTCTGAAAATACCCTTACTCTCTTCATCTACCAATCGTAGTCTGGCTACACTGAGAATTACAGATCAATCTCTTGCTGGTCAGGGCTCACTGTTCCTCCTCTGTGAGGCAGTTATTCAGACACCTAAGCAAGTTCTCTCTGCTCTCGTCTGCCCTCCTCTATCTCTGCCTAGGACCAGATCCAGAAAGTGCTGAGCTAGGTCCATGGCCCTTTTGTATTTTTAATTAATTTCAAAACGGGCTCTTGCTCAGTTGCCCAAGCTGGCCTCAGATTTGCAATCTTCTCACTGCTCAGCCTTCTGAGGAGCTGGGATTACAGGCCTGTACCACCACGTCTAGTGAACAATGTTCAGTTTTAGTAAAAAAAAATTTTTTTTTCCTTTTGGTTTGTTGCGAGGAAGGATTTTGCTATGCTGTCCAAACTGCAAATTCCTGGGCTCAAGTGACCCTCCTGCCTCAGCTCCTAAGGAGCTAGGATTAGAGGCATGTGTCATCGTGGTTGCCTTCAAATCATGCGTCATTTTTGATTCTTGGTATATGACCTACTTTTTTCTTTTAGCTGTCTCTGTTCCAGTTCTGAAAGTCAACCTGAGGAGCCCTAATGCTGGTTGATTTCCATTCACTGACTGAGGTAACTGGTGGACTCCTCAGGCTAGGACTTGGGGGCCTCTCAACTCTGGGAGCTGTTCTTTAACCCCTTATTTTCCTTGGCCTGGTTTCCTTGTTTTTCTTCCTACAAACTATGTTTGGATGCCGTACTCCTGGTTTGGTCCACTAATTTGCTTAATTTTCCTCCCCAATATTTCATTTCTTTGTCTTTTTGCTCTGGTTTCTAAAACATTCTGAGGTTCATCATCTGATCTCTCTGCAGGATACCCTTTTAAGAAGCACACTGCTCTCAGGACATGATGCCTTCACTTTCTTAAAGACATGGAGATGGCACAGTTTTTTTGGAATCTATGTCTCTTCCACTCCTTTCGTGGTCTGTCTCATTTGCATCAGAGTGGCGTTTTCCTGGTGAGTTAGTTTCTGCTCCTGCCAAGGAGGAGGAACAGCTGAGTCTCCAGCGCCTTCTCTGCAGGGCCAAGTGGCAGTGCCACAAAGAGGCTGTGGTGCCTCCTTCTGGGCTGGCCTGGGGTTCCCTGTCCCCTGGAGGGCATTCCAGCCCTGTGTACTGTGTCCTGGGAACCTGGTGGGGTAAGTTCTGAAGCCCCAGTACTGTGCATGGCTGAAGCATGGAGTGGGGACCTCACCATGCTCCTGTCTTGAGCCTCAAATGTGCTGGGATTACAAGCCTATACTACCGCATCCAGCTCTGGATATTCATTTTAAGAGAGAAAATGTATGGATCATTTCCATTCTATAATATTCTAAGATTACTCTGTCTCCATTGTACACTTATTATCCTGTAATATTTCCCAAGATGTAGGCCTTGGGTATCCTTACCACTGAGATAAAAAAATGGTTCTCTTTCTATTTTAGCAACATCTTGAATACAAGAATGTTTTGATTGGCATGTTGAGCTTTATTGTATGCTCTGTTAGGACACAGCTCTTTCCTCTTCCTTGTGGTGGAATTTATCTGGTGTTGAGGATCAGCCCTGATCTGACCCTGTTTTCCTGGTCCACCTGGTCCTATACATAGCATATCTTGGCAAACAGAGCCATTCCTCTAGATGACTCTTGCCACGGCAGCCATGAGAGTTTAATCCTTTGCTCCTAAGTTTTACTTCTTGTGAAAATTCGGCCGTTCCTAGGAAGAATGGTGTCCACTCATTCCAATGACCAGTGACCAGTGAGAATGGGGACTGGTGCCTTCTCATGGAATGGGTTTTAAGACAGGTGCCACAGCTGCTCCTGAGGTTGCTCCTTGGGGTCTGAGGCCAGGTTCATGCTTCCCTTTGCAATGCATGGAGGGTCCTCAACTAACGAGTTGTGAAGGGCTTTGTGGAAGATGCCTGCTGTCTCTGCTGTCTGGTCTAGAATTTCACTTTCTCATTGTCCATCTTTTGAACTCCAACTTTTCTGTTGCTGTTGTTCCTCCTCTCACTGTCTTTGAGTTCACTTCAGGAGGCTGAGGCAGGATTGCCTTGAGTTTAAGGCCAGCCTGGGCTACACAGTGAGATTCTGCCTCAACCTCTTTCTAAAAAAGGATTCCCACAGAAATGTCATGGAGATCAAGACAGTGAGATGTGAACTTCCAGTAGATCTATTACTCTTACCTTCCTGCCACAGACAAAAAACAAAACCAAAACAAAAAGCAAGCAAACAAACAAAAAAAGCTGTACAAAATACATAAAGTCATCATGACCAGGTGCTAAGAGAAACCATCACAGGAAGTGAAGTGGAGTGAAGTGGGGTGAGTGCTATCTAGAAGTCTCCACAGCAAATGGCCCGAGGGTCCTTTAGTTTCCAGAATGAGGGTTTGCAGAATGAGGGGTGAGGCACCTACAAGCCTGGGAGAAAAATACCTGCCAAGAAAGTGTGGCAGTATGGAGACAGCGGGTACCACGCAGCACTGTAACATGGGGCACGCCACAAAAACATTTAGCCAAGCCTCCGGAAAGGCCACCCTAATACCTTCAGTCACACTTCAGGGACACAGGGATATTGAAACAGATACACCTGACGAGGCTCCCCAGGCTTGATGAGAGCCAAAGCAGTCGCCCAAAGCTCAGCCGCTAGTCATTACAAGACAGAACACTGCTGTGCAACCCAAGGCCTCTGTCCTCCACCTGTCCAATGCATGGTGCACAGTAAGCACTGCAAAAGTGACCAACAGTCACAGAGCTTCTGCAGTGACAGTGACCTGAAGATGAGCAGAGATGGCCTGGGTGCTTGATTCAGAACACAAAGATTTCATGCTAACTATACCTGATCTGTCAAAAAGAGAAAAAGGAAAACTCGATGGAAAGAGGTAAAATTACAATTGGGATTTAGAATTAATGAAAAAAATTCCAGAACTTCCAAAAACAATTTAAGGTATTTTGCCAGTTTTTATTTACATTAGCACACGTTTGCAGCACTGCTTCCACTCCCCATGCAGAGTCGGTGTACATCACAGCACCTTTTTATGCCTCTCCTCAGCCTCTTCCCCTCCAACCCAGGACATCGTACATCTTCTTCTGTTTATGCTCCCTGTAAATTTCTTTCAGTGGTATGTAGTTTTCAATACAAAAATCTTATGTCTTCTTGGTTACATTTATTCTTCAGTATTTTATTCTTTTTGATGCTACTGTATATGGAACTTTTTTTTTTTAATTTGGTACCGACCGGGGATTGAACTCACGACTGCATGCTTACCAGGCAGGTGCTTATGCCACTGAGCTAAATCCCCTGCCCTTGGAACTGATTTTTTAAGTTTTATTCTTAGATCACTGCAGATCTATCAAAAAATAATGGATTCTGTGTATTAGTCTTACATCCTGCAACCTTCCTGACTTTACCAGTATTCCTTTGTGCGTCATGGTAGCTTGTTCTCCTCTTCAGTATGAAGACCCCACATTTCTTTTTCTTGCCTGCCTGACCTGGTCCTATATTCTTTGGCTACAACATTTTCATTTTGATGGTTTATTTTTTTCCAGTACAAAAAAGTATCTGCTCAGATCTTAGAAAAGCTATTTCTCGCAGGAAGTCTAGGAGAAATGTAGCCAAACTCGTGCTCAGCATCTCAGAGTGAGAGATGGGTCATATAACTGGGAAGTGGTTTGCAAACTCAGTACCCAGGTCCCTTTGCTGGGTTAGAAAAGCTGAGTATTATCCAGAAGCTCATGCTCCACAGAACAGGCCTAAGCAGCCTGTGAGATGCTGGGTCTGCAAAGGTCCTGGGTGACAGGAGAATACTGATTTAGGATGGAAGGAGCCTGAAAAGGTCAAGTGGCTCACACAGGTCTCCTAGGCACCAGGAGACAAGCCCGAGGTCCCTCATCCTGACTTTTGGCGAGCATTGCTGAAATCCATACAAGGAAGCTGAGACACATGCAATGGCTCTATCACATCTTTCATTGATGTTGAAGTCCTTCATATGCCTTAAATACTTGTGTTTATTTAGTTATAGGTATCATCATCTCCTTAGTACACAGCATTTTGTTTCCCTAGTCCTAAGTATCAGTTCAAACACTGCTATTTCTCTTGCTCTGACCAAGGCAGACAAAGCACTAGAAACAGGCTGCCTCTGCCTGCCATACTGTGTCTGCTTACTCCCAACCAAGGCGACCTCTAGAGTCATCCCCTTCCTCCACCTCCAAGAACCCCTACCCACCTCCTGTCTATCCACAGAACTTTCCCTGCCACCAAGGCATCTTTCTCACAATCCCTCTGTGTCTCTCCTCAGCCTAACATGATTCTCTGGTTCCCTACGTCTTCAGGATATAACCCATCCTAAATGCTCTATTTTAGACAAAATACCTGACATTCAAACTTAAAGAAGGAAAGGCTTATTTGGCTTATAGTTTGTAGAGGTTTTAGCCCACTGGCTGGCTGTAAGGCAGGATGACAGAGGAGCACCATGGAGACACAGTTCATGGTGGCCAAAAGACAGCGAAAGCAGCAAGCCATGACAGCAGCCCTCTTCTGTCCCTTATATTCGATTCAGGCTGTACTCTCTTAGGGCAGTAGCACTCACACCTGGGGAGGGCCTTGACAGTTTCCATTCCCCAAACAATGCCAAACCAATCAGTGGACTAATATAGTAATCACACACCTTTGCTACCAGCATCACACACTCTAGATCCAGCCACCTCTGAAGAGCTGCACCTATGACCACATAAGGCTTTGGCAGGCAAGCCATACATGCTCCCGGTCACCAGTCCCAATGACCTCTTTTAGCACCATCTCTGCACATACCCCACCCTCCAGTTACCTGAAAGAGGCAAGATCTAGATCTTTAAGCCCGCTGTTCTCTTTGTTTATCTTCTCTATTAAAACTCCTACTTTCTGGGCATGGAGGTGTGTGCCTGTAATTCCAGCATTTAAGAGGCTTAGGCAGGAGGATCTCCATGGTGATTTCAAGGCCAGGTCCCAAACTACATAGTGAGTCCTTGTCTCAAAAAAAAAAAGTCCTACAATCTCTTGATAGATATCAAAAGGATCCTCTACTTGGTAAAGTTGTAAAGTGGGAGTGGTGGCCTGGAAGGGAGTTATGGGAAGCCGGCCTTTTGCTCTTCCTCTCTCTCTATCCCTTGGCTCATGTGAGCCACATTGCTCTGCCACAGGCCCAAAGCATCAGGGCCAAATGACCATGACTGGAGCTGCCAAAGCTGTGAGAAAAAAGAAACTTTTCATAAGTTAATTACCTCGAGTATTTTGTTACCGTACCAGAAAGGTGACCGACACATGTGATATATGAGATCCGGGAGGAAGAAATCCCATTTCATCTCCCAGGGCCCAGCTGCCTCCTGGTCTGGCCTGTGTCTGGCAAGACTCAGCCAAGAGACACACACAGCCTGCATTGGCAGCCTTGTCGAGCATGGCCTGCCAGGAGGACAGCAGGGTACTGAGTAAAGAAAGGGCCTGCTTTCCCCAAAGCAGTTTTTCTTCTCCCTAAGAAATTTCAGCCTTGCCAAGTGTGGTGGCTCACACCTGTAATCCCAGCACTCAGGAGGCTGAGGCAGGAGGACCACTGCAAGTCCAAGACCAGCCTGGGCAACAAATTGAGCTCAAGGCCAGCCTGAACTGCATAGCGACACCCTGTCTCAAAAAGACAAAAAAAAAAAAAAAAAAGGAATTTCAGCCATAAGAGATTTTTAAGGTTAAATCCTTGAAATTCTTATTTTGGAGAAAATCAAACTAAAACAATAAGACACAGTTGCAGGCAACCTGATTGTATCACTCTACCAATTAAAAACCCTGAAGTAAATCAGTATGCCGTCTCTCAGGTAAGTACTCAGATTTCTGTGGGCCACAAACTGCTGAAGCAGAAAGAGGGCCATCTGTTGGCCCATGCAGAGTTCCGAGAAGGGCGCAGGGGATGGGGCGGAAAGGGCATTGCAGGCTGCAGGCCGTAGGTGTCAGGGCTGGGGAGCTGGTGCTGAGATGGGCTGAGCACTGTTGACAGCTTTGGGAGCTTGGAAAGGACTGAGATGCCTTTCAACAGAAAAACGGATGGGTTCAAACATAAATACAATACAATACCATGCTGTGGTAAAAATGGCTAAATTAGAGCTATATGCAGCAATGTAAGTGAACCCCAAAAATACACCCTAGTGAAACATCTCCACAATGAAAATGACAAAACACTGATGAAGTAAGTCGAGGAGGACATAAACAGTGGAAAGACATTATGTTCATTGAATGGTAGAACTGACACTGACATAAAGGTCCACACTACTCAAAGCAACTCACAGATTTGAAGCAATCCCATGTACATGCCTATGAAGAATAGAGAACCCAAGCCATGTGTGTTGGCACACGCCTGTGATCTCGGCATTTGGGAGGCTGAGGCAGGAGGATCACTGCATTTCAAGAGCAGCCTGGGCTACAAATGGAGCTCAAGGCCATCCTGAACTGCACGGGGAGTGCACCGTCTCAAAAGAAACCCCAAACAATAGAGAACCCAGAAGTAAACCAAAACAGCCACAGCCAACTGATTTTTGACACAAGTGGCAAGAACACCTACTTGAAGGAAGAACACCTATGGAAGAAAACATCTGCTGCTCTGGAAATACTGAATATCCATACATGAAAATGAAACTAGACCTATAACTCTCACCAATTACAAAAATCAACTCCAAGTGCATAAAGGCTAAAATAAAATGTGAGATCTGATACTATGCAACTACTTGAAGAAAACATAAAGGAAATGCTTGTGACACTGGGATGGGCAAAGACTTTTTGGACGAGATCCCAAAAGCACAGGGGAAGAAAGCAAAATAGGTAAATGAGTTTACATCAACGTAAAAAGTGCAGAGTGCAGAGACAGCCTACGGAATGGTAGAAAATATTTGCAATGTATATAATGTCTGATAACAGGTTGATTTACAGACTATGTAATGAACTCCAAAAACTTAACTCCACAATAATGCAGTTAAAAACAGCGACAAATTTAAGTAAGGAAGACATACAGATGGCCAAAGGGAACATGAAAAAAGACTCAACACCATTAATCATCAGGGAAATGCAAATCAAAATCACAGTGAGCTATCACCTCACTCTAGTAAGACAAAAAACGTAAGTGCTGATAAGGCTATGGAAAAAAGAAAACCTTTACACATTGTTGATGGAAAGTAACCTAGAACAGTTGTTATGAAAACAATATGGAAGCTCCATAAAATGGTAATAACAAAAGTACCACATGAGCCAATAATTCCACTTCCACGTACACATCCAAAGGAGGAAGAAGCTGCTATGTGGAAGAGCCATCCATGCTTCCTTGCTCACTGCAGGACTGTTCACAGCCACTAAAGTGCCCATCAACTGATGGATGAGAAAGGAAAGGGAGGCACATGTACGTAGTGGATACTACCAGTCATAACAAGAGATCCTGCCACTTATGAGAACATGGCTAGAACTAGAGACCCCTATGCTAAGTAAAACAAGCCAGTCACCGAAAAAGAAGTTGTGCGTGGTCTCATTCGCATGTAGAATATAGAAAAGTGGATTATACAGAAGTTGACAGCAGAATGTAGTTTCCAGACAGTGGGGATGAAGAAAGGCTGGTAGGGGACTAAGTTACAGTTACAGAGGGCTGAGAAGCTTGGGGGAAACCACAGGGAAAAAGAATGCACTGTATGTTGCAAAAAGCTACAGGGAAGGAGTTTGAAAGTCTTCACCATACAGTAATGATAAATACACAGAGATGAATGTGTTTAAGCTGCTTTAAACACAACATAATGCATTCACTTAATGAAATAATATATGGTACCTCACACATTGGGACCATCCTTATGTTTTTATGGATCAGTTAAAATGTAAGTTTAAAAACCATCCTTGCCTGCAAAAAGGAAGTTAGGCAGATTTGTGCAGCTTGAGCTCTATGTGTAGTTTAGACTGCGGGAAGAAGACAGTGGATCATCCAGAGACACCACAGAGGTAGCAAGGGTAGCACGACTTACACAGCTACACTAAGCACCAAAGTGTGGAGGGGATGTGCCTGGGGGGTCTCGCCAGGGTTTTCTCTGAATATCTCGCATGTCCTTGCTTGAATGATACACGTGGTTTTTGTTGGACCAAGGCTGTTGTATGGCTGAAGTATTGCACAGTGCAGTTAGAAGTCAGGACAAAGTTGTGTGTCAGGTTTTACTATTTGGTGCTTTAATGCCCCGAGGGCATAGAGTGCCCTGTAGGCCCCATGTGCTTACCAGTCTTCCTCTGGCAAGAGTGCCTGGCTTCCAGGTCAGGCCTTGCACCCACAAACATGGCTCCCAGTAGATCCGAGATCCTTATCATCCCCAGCGGCCCCCTCTCACCGGCATGTACCCTTTTCTTCTGTGAATCAGCAAACAGACTCACTGCCTCTGTGCTGTCAAGAAGCCCAGAATCTCCACAGGTCCCATGGCCCAGGGGACAGGTGGCCACTGGCCGTGTGACTCGTCTGGCATCAGTGTCTTCACCTGTCAGGTGTAAGATCTGCATCTTCACCCTTGCAGTCTCTTCCCCCTGCAACTTCCCGGCCCTGAGCTACACCCGAGGGGGCCACTGCTTCTGGCACTCGTCCCTGGAAGACACCTTCAGGGACACAAGCCTCTTTCCCTGAATTCTAACCTCAACATCAGGACTCAGAGTAGACAAGTTATTTATTAGAAGTCCTGCATAGAAATGGTCTCCCACGGGTCTGAGTCATGGAGAAAACACACCTTTTTCTCCCGAAGTCCATCCCATGTGCCCACCTCCTTCATCCAGCTGTAAAAACGCCCTCGTGGAGCAGAGGCAGAGGCAGGGCTTTTCTGTGCAGGGTGGGGTGCAGAGAATGCATGAGGTGGCCCAGCAGAGGTGCTGAGGAGCCACGGGCCTGAGAAAAGGCTCTGCAAGTGGTCCTTGGGTCAAGCATCACCACATTTACCCTAGTGCAGCAGACAGTGAAACAACACAGAAAGAACAGAGATCTTGTTGGGTTTTTTTGGTGTACGGGGGATCAAACTCACGAACTTGTGCTTGCCAGGCAGGCGCTTACATCACTAAGCTAAATCCCCTGCCAAGCAGAGATTATTTTAAGAACCAGTTTTTTTTTTGTTTGTTTGTTTGTTTTTGAGACAGGGACTCATTCGGTAATTCCGGCTGGTCTTGAACTCACTATGTAACCCAAGCTTATCTCAAACTCATGGGACTCCTCCTGCCTCAGTCCTCAAGTGCTGGGATTACAGGTGTGCACCATCACATCTGGCTAAGAACCAGCTGCGTCTTTCACAGATGAAAGCAGGAGCACGCAGCAGAAGATCAGAAGCCGCTTTCCTCCAATTCCTGGTCCTCGGCCACCCAATTCCATGGCAGCTGCCGTCCTCCGTGTCCAGGGCCTCATCTCTAGTCAGTCCGCCCAGCATGAGCACACACTAGCACGTGTGCGCACACACACACATACACGCGCACACACAACTTATAAAAGTGTACTCCACATGCTCCGTGCCTGGATTTTTTGTAGTAATATTTTCTGTGTATCATTTGAAAAATTTTACATTGGGAGAAAACTTGAATGAGGACTTTATGTGAATTGGCAACATTTTGTTACATTTTTCTTAAAATGTGCTTACTTTTTCCCCTGAATCACTGAAAAGTACAGTATTCTGCAGACCTCCTAGACCTGGTGGCCCTTGGGGACCAATGAAGAGTTGGATCTTTAATCCAGGGGTAGTGGAAAGGTGTCTGGTCACAGAGGCGACTTGGTACCAACCAGTGCAGTGGGAGATTAGCCCTGGAGGGGAGCCGAGGCGCTGGAGGGTTAAGCACCAGACACAGAGGCTGGGAGCTCACCTGCAGTGAGGAAGGCTGTTCTGACAGGCGGGCATCGACCCCTCCTCCAGGGGCAGCACTGCCCACTGGGCGTCAGGCCACACAGCCACAGCTCTGGCTCCTTAGAAAGGAGCACTACCCTGGATCATGCCACCCACATTGCAGCTTCCTGGTTTTCTCTAGTGGTGCAGTGGACTCACATTTGTGGAAGTTCTATTTTGGGACCACAGCCTTGGTTCCAAGAAGGTATTAAAAGCTGGAGTGGCATAGAATAAGAGAAAAATATAGTGAAAAAACTCTTAAATTGAGGGCTCTGCAGCCCAAGACACAAGGAAGCATGCAGTGTCCAGTGTGGGCTCGCATCTGCCTGATGAATCAGGTTGGAACTTTCTGTGTTCTGCTAGGCCAGCCAAGGCTGCGGTTGTCACAGTGCGTGCCAGGATATTCGTTTATATCAGCACAGGGCTGTGCTGATACAAGTATTAAATGATTATAATCTGGGCTCCTGTAGACCACTGCTCCTCTGACAGCAGTAAGCAAACATGATGGCAGCTTTTGGGTATCAAGGTTGCCTCTAAACTTACAGCCGTCCCTATATCTAAAATACAAACAACCAAATGATCTGCTTTGTATCTCATATTAACAGGCTCTGTGCAACTTGTATTAAAATGGAATAAGGGCAAGGAGGTAGAGGGGGAAGTCAGGGAAACTCAGGATTATGTATTTAGAAACTGAAAGAATTATGAAGGCAAGAAACACAGTAGGAGTTTTGTCAGGGATGACACCAGAGATGACGTTAGGAAAGACCTACGGACTGTTGCCCACTTTATTATGAGGTCAAATATAAGAGCTTTACACTTCTCTTTTCTAGCCCAGAACGAGTAACAAAATGCAGCCTAAAGAATTAGCTTAGAAAGAATTCATGATTCTTCACTCAAATGGGCTTTGAATCAAAGGAGACTATTTAGAGCTTGTGACAGTAACAGGGTTACAAAATATCCCAGGATTGACAGGATTACAAAATGAGTAGCCATGTGGGCATTCTCTGGAGTTAGTTATTTATGCTATTTCTTCTTTACGGTGCTGGGGATTGGACCCAAGGTCTTACACACGCTAGGTAAGCACTGTGTGATGGAGCCATGTTCCCTGCTAACGTGTGTCATGATAGCCCCTAATGCCCTGGTGGTACTGGACAGTCACAGAGCTGAGACCTCAGCAGCCCCACCGAGCCACCAAGTGCATGGCCCCAGGCAGTCTCCAATACAGTCCCCTGTGACAGGTGGGCTGTGGCTGCCTTCTGGGGAGGGGAAGGGGTGGAGGGTGGGAAGCCTTCTCTTATCCTTGGGAACCTTGAGGGTCACTTCCCTCAATGAGCTTGTGCAAACATGCTCCACCTCCCACCACTCCTGCAGGTCAGGAACCTATTCAGGGATAGGAAGTGACTGAAACCCTGGCGTGAAGAGGGCACCACAGCGAGCACTTGGAGCCAGGGCTGCATCCTGTTTAACTTGGCCTCCAGCGCCAAGCCCTTTCTCTGCAAGTGTTTTCTTAGTAGAGTGCGATAACGTCCCCTCCCAACAGCCCTTCCTCCATGGGAGGAACCAACCTCCCTACTTCTTTTTGTGGTGCTGTGGATGGAACCAGGACATGGACTGCTGAGCAGGACTGAGCCTGTGTCCTTTGGTTTGCTTTCCTTCCACCCAACTGCCCATTTTCTATTCAAGAAGGTTCTTTACACTGTGTCCTCAAGGCCGGCTGTCCACATCCCTCAGCATCTCCAGGTATGGGGATGGCCGGCGAGCCTGCCGTGTGGCTGCTGGCCTTCACTGCAGTGATGCAGCCCTCTGCTCCCCCTTATACACCAGGGCCTTGCGGGTGTCTCAGTTTCTTCTCTTGGGCTGTGAATGCAGTCAGGCCATGGCCAAAGGCCTAAAAGCTACACCCTCTGTGCCTGCTGCACTACCTCGAGGGGCTCTTGAGGGTCAATCTCTTTGGGTCCTGAGTTTTGTTCTCTTTCCTGCTTTGTATCACTTGGAAATTTGCTAGATGAGCCATTTTGTACTAATCTAAACCATGGATAAAAATGCAGACAAGACAGTTTTGAAGACTTAACCCTTCTGGTATATCTCCTTTCCTTCCCTTCAGGCCATGAACTGTGCTTTGTGCCATGCTGTCTGTAGAAACCTTTACACCAAGTTCCGCTCAGTACCAAAGGACAGTATCACCCTATCTCCACAGTCGTGACAGAACCTGTCCCATTCTTTTGGGCTTGCTCATTCATGCCCCCTCCTCTCCTCCTCTCTCTCTCTCTCTCTCTCCCCCCCCTGCCTCTCAGAACTCTGGGAACACTGTGACTGGTGAAGCCTAGGGAGCAAACCCATGCATTAGTGGGTTCTTTGGAGCTCACTGTGAGCCTCTCCTGATCGGCTGCAGGGCTGGCAGGGAGAAAACTCACATTAAGCACATGACATCTGTGAGCCTTCTGATTTCCTGTTAGGCTCCAATGTTAGTATAGTATAATGACAGCTCCTTGCAGATATCTTTACTGTACGGTAAACAGATTAAGCTCCTCTTCTAAATATAAGAATCAGAGTAGGGCAGTACAAGTTCAATGGGACTTCTGTGTCCCTCCCTCTATCCTGTCTGCCTATGATAGTTCAGAACATGCCGAAGGAACACAGTGGGGGCAACTCTCCAGATGGAGCCTCACCTGGTAGAGGAAATTCAAAGCAATCAGGGGAAAGGAAACTTAACCTTGAGGGAAAGAGAATAGGATCTGTGCACGCAAGCACCAGGTCTAAGCAAGTGCGTTCTGGTTCATTTCAGGAAGCACGGAACTGAGAGGCTGGGTGCCCTAAACACAGGACCATGGTGTCCAGGCGGCATCTCCCCCTTCCAGACTTGGCGCAGAGGGGTTAGGACAGCTCCCTCCCTCCTCATGAGCTGGCTCTGGGGGATGGAGGCAAGGGGTGGGTGTATTAGCACACAGGGAGGGGCAGGAGAAGCATTTCTAAAATTGCCACTATTGCTTTTTTGTTACTACAGCCACGGTTTTTTTCCCTCCTCAATGCTGAGGATGGGACCCAGGGCCACGTGCATGCTAGGCAAGGGTTCCACCCCTGAAGGCACTGCACTCTCGGCCCTGATTTCACATTTTGAAATGATCTTATATAGGACAGGAGGGCATGAGGGTGGATGGAGGCAGATACAGCTCATTTAAGGTCTGAATAGCAAGTATTTTGGGGTACTGCCTGGAAAGAGGGTGACAGAAGTTCTAGAGGAGGAAGGATGTTCTCTCCCTTGCTCTCGGTGCTGGGTATAATGTAGATGGGGAAAAATCAGTAGACTGGGCACTACTGGTTTCAGCATCCACTGCATCCAAGTGCTGTCTTCCTCAAGGAAGAGGCTCCACAGCAGGACGGAAAGCATCAGCAAACCCTGTGGCTCAGGGCACTAAGAGGGTCTCACTCTCTACTATCTGCTGTCTGTGAGGGAGGCAGATCAATCCCACATTAGTCACCACAGGCTGGGGTCTAGCTCTCAGCAATGCCTGATGCGAGGCCAGCGAGTTCCCTGGCACCAGGAGGGGCAGGAAACTCACTGCACTAAAGACACAGGGCTGAATGCATGAGGGGCCTCCTGCACTGCTGGCCCAGGTTGAGGGACAAAGGGTCAGAGGAAACAAGGAGGAGATTCTATACCCAGGGGAAGGTGGCAGGTTGAGGAGAGAGAAAATGAGGCTTTGAGACCTAGCACCAAGGATACCAAGCCACCTATGTCCCCACAGCTGCTGGGGGCTCCAGGCTGCTCCTGCTCCAGGACCAGAGCATCCTGTCCTGGATCCCAGCTCCCAGGCAGGCAGCACAGATAGAGATAGATAGATAGAGAGAGAGAGAGAGAGAGAGAGAGAGAGAGAGAGAGAGAGAAGAGCGCTCGCAGAAGGAGGACACAGGCAGCTGTGTTTTTATACTTTCCTGCCCACTGCAAAGGCGCTAGGGCTCCAGGGACAGCATCTATGGCCCCCCTCCACAGTTATGGCACAACCCAGCAGGGCAGGCCCTCCTCCCACCCCCAGAGAGTGAGGACATAGGGCAGGCCAGCACCCCCCCCCCCGCGCCCAAGCCCTAGTACCAGGGGCCAACAATGCAATGGGCACTGCTCAGGAGATGCTACGTGACTCAAGAGGAGGGGCTTGCTTCATGCCAGTTGCAAAGATCAATCCCTGGTAGCTTCAAGGAAACCTTGATACTACTCTCATGACAGTGAGACAGAGTATGAAAAGTAACAGTAGCTGAACAGGTGACAAAAACCTTTGTAATTTTGCAATTGTACTTTTAAGGAAAACTAGTGGCAGGACACAGAGATTACTCAAAGTAACAATGCCTTTTTCTCTTCTAGGAAACTCACTCCAAAAATTTCAAGGGACGCAGAGATAAAAGAAGCCTAAAAGTGAAGCTCAGGGTCTATGCATGCATTCATTCATTCATCCGTTCATTCATTTAATCACGTTTTTTGAGAAAGGCTCTTGCTATGTAGTTCAGGCTGGCTTTGAACTCACTATGCAGCCCAGGCTGGCCTTGAGCTCATGGTGATCCTTCTGCCTCAACCTCCCAACTGCACATTACAAGTGAGTGTCATCAGGCCAGCACTGGGCCTGTGCTTCTCACTGTCAGTTGCACTTCCTCCCACAGAACTCCATCTTTCAGGAAGTACATCATGGCTCTGAACCTCAGACACTGCAACGATACATCCCAACCTCACCCACCACATGGGTGGCCTGACAGACAGTAGCAATACACATCCCTCACCGCTCACCTTGAGGACGTGCCCAAGACCACAGAAAACCCCTAAGCTTGGAGCATAATCTGTCTCTGTATTCTGTGTGTACTTTTCAAAATGCCTCTCATTGACAGGTCCTGAAGATTCTTTTTCTGCCATGGAAGTCAACAACTCTACAAGCCACCTTGTGAGTGCAGTGAGGAGGACCTCATATCTTTTTGGGCCTTGGACTCTGTTGGCAATAAGAAGAGAAATCTGAGATAATAACCTGCTTTGTCAAATGTAAGAAGTCTGGAAGGCCAGGTCCCAGTGTAAGTCACACATGCTTAAACTCTGCTGAGGGTTATACACCAAACAACTTCGGCTTTAAAAGGGCTCAAGAGCCCTAGTATTTTCTTTCTCCTTTTATTTCTTTTGAGGCAGGGTCTTGCTGTTGCCTATACTGGCCTCAAACTCAGGATCCACCTACTGTAGCCTTCCAGAGCCATTGTGCTGAAGAACCATCATTCTTCATGGTGGTAAATGATACTGAAGAAAACCTGCCACTTTAACCACCTTAAAGTGTCCAGTGCGGTGGCACTGAGTACAGTTACACTATTGTGCAAACATCACGCCATCCACTTCCCAAACTTGTTCATCTTTGATTAAGGCTCTGCCACAGTCAACTCTTGTCTTTTTGCTTCCACAGTACTTGATTTAAAATATAAGCTCTTCTATCATCATTATTGGATAAAAAAAAATATAAGCTCAGGAAATGCTTGGTGAAGAACACTGAAGTTTATAGTCATAAAAGAAGATTAACCATTCTGTTCTACAAATAAGCCCAATTACAGGGAATGCGTTTTTTTCTATAACTGAAGACCCAGGGCAGGAGAACTAGGAGTAATTTATGACTTGTTTACACTTCCAGCATCAACTCAATCCTATGCACGGCCTCTCGTGCTCAGCTGTGTGAGCAGGTGGGAGTTATGCCTACCCTGGGATGGGAGAGGCCCGGCTGGCCGGGACTTCAGGCTGCTTTTGGAGCTGTCACCGCAGACAGCCCTGGCCTGCCCTCCTGGACAGATCTGTGTGACTTGGCAGTGACCACGCTGTGGAAATTCACTGAGGAGCCTGGACTGCAAGTCCTGGGAAGCAGAGATTTCACAGGTCTTCTGCGACACATCCAGCTCAAAGAAGCAAAAGCTTCCCTGGGGGCTTCAGGTGATACCAGAAACCCAGAGAACAGGACAAGGCTCTGGACTGAGTTCAGGGTGCCAGGACAAGTGGTGCCCTCAGTCCAGGATTTTATGACTTAGCGAGAATACAGAGCCCCAAGTGGACAGGGTGACACGTGAGCAACTCTGGCAGGGAAGGGTGAGCCAAGAGTTTGGAGATTTGACAGACACACAAACACATGAAGAAGTGACCCCTGGCCAGCTCTCCGGCCACCCTTTGCTAAAGCCCCTCTGCTGGGAACATGCTGTTGTCACTGGCTCTGGGTCTGTTTTACAGTTTTGGCTCAGCTTCTCTCCTTTCTGAGGACATGCCTTACTCTGGGCCTCTTCCTCAGAACCAGGGCAGGGAAGGTGACTCCAAGCTGGCTCTGGCTACCAGATGCCAAGCTCCAAGAAGCACTGATAACCATCTGGCTTGGGAGGAACTCTGTAATGTTTGGGTTTTGTGCTGGCACCAGGCTCCGGGCTCTAAGTTGTGAGCTGTCACACGGTATGCAGCCATTCCAAGAACAACTCCGTAAAGTGGAGCTTTACCGCCATGGCCTTTGACTTCTTACGATTCACACAAACACAGCCATCTCTTGCAACATTTAATTTAATTTAACTCGGTTCAGCTAAAGAAAAAAAAATTAGCTCTGAACCTGTCCATTTCCCTTTCTGAAAAATGCCGGTCTTGTGTGGAGTCGCTGTTTTGTGTGCTGCACGCCAAACTGTTATTTCACACATGTGAAAAGAAAACTGGCACAGAGTCCGCATGAACTAAACTGCTGGCAGAGGCCAGGCTGGAGCTTGCCATTGAGAAGATTAGGTTCCCAAGAAACTCCTCCAGCAGGCGCCAAGGTCCGCACACCAAAAACGACTCTGCGTGTGTGTGTGGACACACACACACACATATACACCACACGTACACACACAAATATGTTGATTTCTGCCTGTTTTCAGGTAGGATTCTATTAATCATATAAGTTACCAAAGCTTAAAAATCTCAGTTGTACACATTAAATACTTATTAAATAGCAGATGTACATGAGAAAGATAAACAGGAAATTGAGAATTACTTTTTTTAAGTCAAGTTTGGGTATTTTAATTTTCTTCCTTATTTGCTTCATAAACAGGATGGTTCTGAACCTCACCATAAGATTGGTTAGACTGTCACGCACAGTATCAGAGGGAATGTGGAGCTCAGGGGATTTTCATTGAAATTTTCAATTGTTTTCCTTTATTTTCAGTTCTTTTCAGGCTTTTTGCTATTTTAAGTCTGTGGTTTTTCAGACCTTTGCCTTTATACTCACAGACTCAAATACAGAAGCAAGCCCAGTGAGGAGCAGAGGATTTTATTATCAAAACTGCTGAAAGCAGGCAAATTCCTAGAAGTGGTGCCTGGAAACTATGCTACCTGGAGTCCCCAGTTCTGCACCTTTCACTGGTCACACAACCAGGGTGTGAGTCATCATCGCTGGAGGAGGCATCTCCTCCCTTTATGGCCTGCCCTTAGGCCACATTACAAAAGAGCTCAATTGTGTCCACAGGTAAGACAAAGGGATCATTTGAAAATCAGGTAGATAGTTTTATACCTTAGCCTTATAAGGTGGAATGTTTCTAAATGAAAGACATAGATTCACTTTGGAAAACACTGAGGAGTTCAGCTTGTCTGAGACAGGGTGTGGCTATGTAGTTCAGCCTGGTCTTGAACTCACTATGTAGCTCAGCCTCACCTCAAATTCATGGTGACCCTCCTGCTTCAGCCTTTCAGAGTGCTAGGATTACAGGTATATGCCACTATGTCCAGTTAGATTTTCAAATTCATTTAAAAAATAATCATATGTTAATAGAAAGATATCCTCTGTTCCTGGATAGGCAGACCCAACATAGTCAAAATGGTCATACTTCCAAAACTGATATTCAGATTAATATACTTCCAATAAAAATACCAATAGCATTCTTCACAAAAATGGGAAAAATAGGGCCAGGGATATAGCTCAGGGGAACAACTGCCAGGCAAATACAAGGTTATGAGTTCATTTCCTGGTACAAAAAAATGAGAAAATAATCCTAAAATTCATATGGGACCAGAAGAAACCCAGAGTGTCAAAAACAATCCTGGTAATAAGAACAAAGTGGGAGGTAACACAGTCCTGGACTTGAAACTGTATTACAAAGATAAGTGATAAAAACAGCATGGTATTGGCATAAAAACAGACATGAGGATCAATGGGACCAGAGTAGAGGTAGCAGAAACAACCCCAAATGCATTCAGCTATTCATTGAAAAAACACAGACTGGAGGGAATGGTGCTGAGAAAACTGGCTATTCACACACAGAAGATTGAATCTAGTCTCACATCTCTTACCATATACAAAACTAAAATCAAAGTGGATTGAAGATCTAAATGCTACAATCTTTTGAAAGATAAAGTAGGTAAAACTTTTGAAGTCACAGGCACAGGCCACAACTTTCTCAGAGAACCTAGCTGCAACAGGAAACAGTTCCAAGAACCAAAAGATGGGATCATATTAAATTAAAAAGCCACATAGCAAAAGAAACAACCAATAGAATAAAGGGAACCTACAGATCAGGAAAAAAAAATTTTGTCAGCTATCCTAAGAGAAAGAACTAACATCTAGAAAGAAAAAAATTTTTTAAAAATTAGACACTCCTCCAATAAAAGACATAATCAAAGAATGGCCAAGTGGAATGAATAGACACTTCTCAGAAGTACAGATGGTCAATAAACACATGAAGTAATACTCAACATCACTGGCCATTAGAAAAGTACAAATTAAAACAACACTGAGATTACGTCTTACTCTAGAAAGGACAGTCATCATCAGGAAATCAAGTAATGCCAGAGATACCATTCAGTGTCAAAGCGCCTGCCTGGCAAGCCCAAGGCCCTGAGTTAGATTCCTGGTACCACTTCCCCAACTCCCAAAAAAAAAAAAGAAACCAGGTAATAACAAATGCTGCAGAGGCCATGGGGAAAACAAATCCTTCTATATTGTTGGTGGGAATGTAAACTAGCACCACCACCATGAAAATCAGTATGGAGATTCCTTAAAAAACTGAAATTCTACAGCAAGTAGAAATTCTACTTGATGCAGGTATTCTTCTTCTAGGTGTGTTCTCAAAAAAGTTAAAGGCATCATACTACAGTGACCCAAGCATACCTATGCTGATAGCAGCACAACTCATAATAGCTAAATCTTGGAAGCAACCTGTATGTCTATCAACCAGATGAGTGGATAAAGACAATGTGGTATTTACACATAATGGAGCCCGACTCTGCCATAGAGAGAGAGAAATTTGACTCAGTGATGGGAAAATGGATGCAACTTGAGAACGTAACATTAAGTGAAATAAATCAGACAACACTCTTCATTATTACATAGTTTCTCTTATATGGGAAACCCAAAATATAATAAAGAGTAAAATGAAAGATAATAGGAAGCAGGAAGATCAATCTTGCGCAGCAAGGAAGGGGACCAAGAGATGGAGGGAGAGGACAATAACGGAAGAGAAAGGAGATGAAAAAGGAAATAAGATGTGTTTATACATGTGCCAACACCCCCACGAGGAATGTAACCAGTATGTACTGTAAACGTGTACAGAAGCACACGCTTTCCTTCATCTTCAGAGTACCACCTAAGTAGATAAATCAGTGTCTAATGGGACTGTCATCCTAGGACTCCATCTTCCTTGAGCCACCAACAGGGTACCATGTGACTCTGGCTTGGCCAATCACATTGTGTTATTTCTTTGGCTATAAAAATCATGCCGGGCCGGTATATGGCTCAGGAAGGCCAACTGGTGGCCCTTCCTGACACTGACTTATAAAAGGTGGAAGACAAATGTTTTCCATGGGAGTTTCCAGGCTAGCAAAAGAGGAAGTCTAGGGTTATTGATGGCCACAGTTTCTTGCCACAGGGTAAAGGCTGGGAGCCTCATCTCAGGATGTAACCTGAGACAGGTAAACTCAGCAGAGGGTCAGACTTTGAGCAGTACCGGATCCCACTTCCTGACCCTGAGCTCTGGTCGCCGCAGGTCTTCCTTAAATTGCCAGGCATGCCTGTAACCCCAGAACTTAGGAGTCTGAGGCAGGAGAGTCGCTGCAAGTTCGAGAGCAGCCTGGGCTACAAAAGTAAGTCCAAGTCTAGCCTGAACTGCCTAGTGAGACCCTGACTCAAAATAACAAGGAAAAAAAATCCTAGGAGCAGTTCCAATAACATTCAAGCTAATTAAACCAAGAAGTTCCCTTTTTGTTTATGTTGGTTAAAGTTTTTCACAACTGAAACGGTTCTCCAAGTACGAGCCCATTTAAGGTGACAATCACAGTATTGCTATCTTTTTCAGTAACCAGCAGCTTCAACTGTGGGCTAACAGATACCATTAATCTCTTATACTTTTTGCTTATGGTCTTTCGGATCAATTTGTATGTCAGGAAATCAACACTGGGGGAAAAACCCAAAAACAACAACAAAAAGACAAATGCTGAAATTTATAAATTCAAGTGAAAAATCTTTCCTAACTTGTATTTTATTTTTTTTAAAGCAGAATTATATGAAGACATTGATGTCTGTTTGGCTATTCTTAGCACATGGAGAAACTTACATTCAATACTAAATGTCTTTATTGATTCAGGAGTTTACAGTACAAAAACTCTTCTCCACATCTTATTTTCTCATCATTGCTCATCGACCTTAAGGAAGGAGAGAGGTCGAGCAGCAGACTGCAGAGGAATGGAAGAAAAGCTCCTTTCAGCAGGCACCCGCCAGAGGCTTCTGTCCACATGTTTACAGTCAGCTTGTCCCCCCACTCACGCAGGGCTGCAGATCTCAAAGACACTGGCAGGTACAGACATGCTCCCTTTTAATTATCCTGCTGAACTGCCGCAGTAACTGATTGCCAGCTAAATAATTATAATCAAGTGCCCATTGTGCATAACAATCATTTAATGACTGCCATCCAAAACACTGTAATAAAGAGAGCTTTAATGAAGAAAACTGGAAGGGCGCCAGGGTTTTATGGTGGTTTGCTTAAAGGGGAAGAGAGCCATAATCTGTAGTTAAGATTCAAAGGCCTTTAATCCAGATGCTCAACATTAAATAAGGCAGTGAAGTCATGTTTTGATCAAAAGTTACTGCATGCATAAAAGAAAGCAACATAAATGTTCTTTTAGGAAAAGTCTCCAGTAAATTATATTAAGTAAAGTGTTTGTAGCCATTTGCTTTGAAAAAAAACAAAGAAGAAAACCATCTGATTTTCATTTTGAACAAGAACACTTGGCTAAAGTAAAATAGATGGGAGTAGAATTTGATTTGATTTTTATAATGTCATTGAAAACCAAGTGAGTTATGGTTAGGTCTACCTTGTGGCAGTGACCACGTTCTTCTATGGGTTCTATTTATTTTCCAGACTTGCTTGGCCAGGTCAGGCCTGTATCTCTGGAAAGTATAATTACATTTGGACCAAAGGCTGGATGATGTCAGCTCTAGCAAACAGGAGTTCTCATCAGGGGAGAAGAGCAGAAACCGTCTCCATATGAAACTTGGGCCCACCAGCAGTGACTGGCCAGGCTGCAGCTCCCTGTTTGTAAACACAATGAGAGGGCAGTTCCTGCACTGCAGCCATGGGGGCTCTGTACCCTCATCTCAACCTAGCAGGGGCAAACGCTGGGCCTCTAGATCGTGCGGGGCGAATGCTGGCAGAAATCTAGCAGCAGCTGTAACCCCTCTCAAGAAAGCAGAACTGCCGAATGCATTCCCACTGGTAAGACCAGCTGTGGGCTCCGGCATTCCCTATACCTCACAGGGTCCCAGAAATAGGGTGTGACCCACCGTTCCCAGCAGGGCCCAAAGGAACATCACCCCCAGCTTCTCCTTGGTCCTCAGAGTGATGCCTATGCCAAGGCCCTGACTACCTCGAGAAACCGTCACTCCAGAGGTTCATTTTTTGTCCCAAGGCAAACAGACAGAACAAACTATACTGGTTCTCTTGAGACACTAGAACGCCCAGGTTCTGGGCTGGGCATGTGTGTGAGGACAGACAGAGAGACAGACGGATAGAGGCAGATTGAGGTTAGGGGAATCATCCTCTGTCATTTGAAAAGCTGCCCCTGCCCTTGAAGAACATGGGGGCTGCAGCCACATCTGTCTCTCCTAAGTCTCTCTGAAGGATCTCCCCTAGAGGAATACCTGGTCTTCTTCATCCCTAAAGGTCACCACCAAACCCCAAGGCCGCCTGATGGATGTCACAGGGGCTGGCTGCCTGCCAATCATGTGGCTCCTGTCCCACTCCTCATTTCCAAGGACTCAGACCCTGCTGGGTCTACCTCGCTTCCCCCTCTGCAGCAAGCACCACTGACGATAAACCCATCTGAGAGCTCTCGGGGAGGAGGGCTCAAAGACTTGAGGAGGGAACACACCCAGAGCTCTGTACTGAGCCCCATAAGAGCTCAGTGGCTGGGAACTCATAGTAGATCTAACCAATGAGAGGCAGAAATGTTCCGCACCACCACAGTGATTGGCTCATAATGGACCAATGAGGCAAGACCTTAGCTGTTTCTTGAAGGTGGCTGCACTTCCAGATGTGGTTCCAGGGCTATAGCTGCCATCTTGCTACTAGGAGGCAAGAGCCTGCCTAAGAATGGACAATACAGAAGGAGTCAGAACGCTCACAACTTACATTTTCTGCACACATGGATCTAGTGGTGGGTACCCAGGAGTTTTCAGGGTTATGGACAAATAAATCCACATTTACAACAGTCTGTCTGAGTTCGCATCTAACTTTGAACCCAAAGAATTTGATGGATATAGTAATCTTGTAGTTTAACAGGTTTGCAACAGGCCTGTCATCTGTCTTACTGCTAGGTGGCTTAAACCACCCATCAGGCAGCTTATTACTAATTATATTAGTGAAAAGATCTATACAAGTGACTAATCTGTTTGTACCACCAGGGGTACATGACACCCATGGGATAGTCATGCATGTACCCCCAGTGACTCAAGCCATGGGAATGGGATAATCCTAAAGGAGTTGTCCAAAAGGAGAACTCCAGGAAATACTTTTCTGAATCCTCTATAAAAATAAGAGTTGGAATATTTGAGACACAGGGAACCCCTCCTTTCTCATACCACCTGACCAGCATCTGCTGACAATAAGACAACTGAATAGTGAGGTCACCGGAGGCAGAAGCAGACTTTCTATATATTACCTCCCTGATCCAGTACGTCCACTTCCATGCCCAGAAGGAAATACACAACCATCCATCCATTCGTTGAAAGATATTCTTCTGAAGTGCTAAACAGGTGCATGGGTTAGGAAGACAGATACAGAGATGGTCAGGAGGAGGTCTTCATTTTCAAGGAGCTCATACAATGAGAATCCTCCATGATAAATGGGACACAGATTGGGGAACCTTGAAGACTGAGGTGACATTTGCCAGAGAAAAAATGCACAAGGTGGCGAAGCGTGACAAGACTGGGGGCTGGAGCCACACGAGTTGCCTGTCTTACCCTGAAGCAGAGGTTAGCCAGCCTCTGAGGTTCCACAGAGCACAACACCACGGCCACACATGACAGAGATGCTGCCCTGCCCTGCTCCTATTGAGGAGGACAGAACTTTCATCAGAAAAAACCAACATACACACAGTGGCAGCTGTTCATGCCCCAGGGAGTGCTGGGTCTTACAGGGAATGGAATTGTGTTGTAACAGAAGCATTTGCTGGTAGTTAAAAGTGTGCGTAACTGTGCGCATGTGCACACATAGAGGTACACACACATAGGCAGATGCACCACAGGCACAAGTACATGTGTGCAAACACACACGTGCTGTCTATGGGCCCAGGAAGAACCTGGCCAGGCACGGACTCATGGATGGAGCTGGACAGAGGAGGAATAAACACTCCTGGATGGAGACATACTTGCTTGGGTGGCAGGGTCAGGCACATCACTAGTTCCCCTCACCAAGTGTAGAGATGGCTGGGTCAGACGGTGATTGGAGGAAGATTCAAAGGTAGGTTTAGGGTTATTTTCCTTTCTTCTCAAACCCAGGTATCCAGAGGCATCTTGTTTTTCGACTTTCCCCAAACCACCTTCCACCAAGCCATCTTCTCACAAGTCAGGGCTTGATGACCAATGGGCCTGACTTAATTGTGCAAGTGAGCAAACACAGTAAGAGATGAGAGAGTTGTAGTGCAAAGCCCCAGCAAGACGGGGCAGCTGTGAGCGGCCTCAGCATGTCTGCCCAACCCACCCCCGCAGAGCCTGGGTGCTGGGGGCTGGCGTGCAGAGTCAGCAGGGATCTGCAAGGCCTGTGCAGGACAGGGGTTCCAAACCTGTTCAAGACATTGCATTTTGCACACAGCTCCTGGGGTGTGCAGGGACGGCTGACACTACCCTTCCAACCCTCCTGGGATTGAACAGCCCAGAGAAACCAGTCTCAGGGCTTGAGAGTTGCTTTTCCCAGGGCTAGTTTACTCTATGCCACAGTTCACTACTACAAAGGCCTGCTCTTCCCAGGGAGGGTGTAATGAGTCCTGACCACTCCAGTGCCTGACTCTAAACGTCCAGATGGCCATGGAGGTCCTTGGAATCTCAGTGATCCCCAGGGTACAAGGTAGATAGGCATCAAAATGGAGGCCCTGGGTCATAGGTCAGAGGCAAGGAAGGGACCTGGTCCCTCTAGGGCAGCTGCAGGACACCTGTGCCCTCTTGCTGGTCTGCTTCTCCCTCCCACTCTTGTCCTGCACTTGTGCCGAGACTGCAGATTCCTTGGGTGATTTGTACCAAATCCAAACAGTTAAAAATAATTTGCTAAATACCTTCCTAGATGAACTGAAACCCAAGAGCCCTCTGAGCCTCACCCAGCCACACCAAAGAGCAAGCAGGACGGAAAGTCATGCTCTTTCCCAAGTCAGGATCTGTCTGTCAGTATTCCAATATCATTTGCCTGATTGCCATCCAAGGCTTAGTGTGTCTTCAGGAAACAGCAGCTGAGTATCAAGCTGTTCTGATAACAACACGTCTTTGCCCAGTCTCTAACCTAGCAACTGTACACACATTTAGGACTGTACACACATGTGGTCCTGGGAGGAAGAATTTTTTTAAATTTTGCATTGTTTTGGTCTAAAAGAAGTCAAAGATGAAAAGAATAAATAACAATGCACTCGTCACTATTTTTGGCAAGGCATATATAAAGTGGCAAACAGGACATGAAGTCTTTGTCCTTTGGGGGATTATATTTGAGTAGAGCTGGAATGAGAGACTGACCATAAATACAAATAAATGAATAATCTTAAGTAGTGATAAGAGTCATGTGGAAAACAAAACATGATGGAGAATGGTTCCTTGGTTTGTGTGTGTCTTACACACGAGGAAACAAAGAATAAGAATTCGGTGAACTTCCCGAGCTTTATGGCTCATAAGTAGTGCTTTAAACTCAGAGCTGCTAGACTGCAAAGTAGTTTCTACCTGAAGCCCGTGTTTTTCCTCAACTCTTCAAGAAACCAAAGAAGCTGCAGGACAGAGGGGCTTCTCTTCCTTCAAGATACCTGCAGAACTCGGGGTCTAGGAATAGAAGCCAGTGTGCGGGTCCCTACATCTGCTGTTCAACACACTTCAGTCCTCACCTGCTCTCTGAGAGGGGGGCAGTTCACTGAGCCTGTGCTTCATAAAGCACACGAAGCTCAGGACCTTGTGGAAAATCCTGGAGCTTACAAGCAACCATTTGGTCGCACGGGTTCTTCCATCACACCATGCTGCCTCCCAAGGCTCCCCGACAGGCTCCATTGGGAGATAAGGCAGGAAGGGACTTGGCAGTGCACACAGGGACGAGTGACCACCCTGTGTCTGCCAGGCAAGGACGCTGTGCCCTTTAAAGCCCAACTTTTCTTTAGCAGTTAAGCATTCTAGAATTTGCTTAAGAATTTTTTCAACTTCTAAAAAAAATTTTTTTCTCACCTTCATATGGGGTCCAAAATTAAGAGTGGGAAAAACATATTTATGTCTCACTTGGAATTCAAAAAGTCATAAATCCTTCGGGCTCCTGGAAAGCACTTCTGAGCCACTGTCACCATGCTGCCTTGTATAACAAGTCCCGTGATGTCTGTGGCCTACTTGCTATAGTAACAGCAGCCTAAACGCCTGAGACCTTATTCTCGTGCCTGGGGGATTATTCCATTTTCCACATTAGGAATAAGCTGCAGACTTTAGGCTAAATGGAGCCAGAATCACTGAGTAGAATCCAGATGCCCTAAATATAATTAAAGCTAAACTTTACTGCCCTGTTTGACAGACACAAATGAAAAGAATGTACCAACTTCTAGATTATGAGTCCACAGAGCAAAACTATAAATAAAGTCAGACTTGGAGGCCTGTGAAGCTAGCTAGGGACACTCAGTTATCTCCCCTTCTTCATATTCTGGGACATTTTTATTTTTAAAAGAGCCAAACATACCATGGAAGCAGGAGTTCCTATGCACAGGCTCATTCTAGCAAATCAGGGCCTCATGGCATGCCCTTGATACTCACATGAAAGTGACTCACATTTTGAGGAGCTAATCTGATAAGGAGGATCTTAATCTATGGCTAATCAATTTATTTCTTGCTATTAAAAATAAATTCATCAATCTCTGATGGGAGTAAGATCACCATTTAGCCAAAGACTAGTACAAAACTGTACAACGTACTATACGTGTTTCCCTTTAAAGTATGATTAGCCATGACAACAGTGATGACACAGCATCTGTTGAGTGCTTACTGCATGGCAGGAGCTATGTGAGGAGCCTTAGGTATGTTCTCTTGTTTAATTTCCATGGTATCCAGCACGGCTACTGTAGTATTTTCATTGAGAGAGAAGGGGAGGCTCTGGCAACCTGCAGTTTGACTTCAGCAGGGGGACTGACAGCAGGGCATCTGGACATGCAGAACAAGGCATCTGCATGGGAAGTTCCGAGCCCTGGGCCTGCCTTGAGGAGCGGCTGCTCCTGGCCACTTACTGTCATCGGATCCGAGAGAAGCGGGTTTTCCCAGAAACGCCTTGCTTCCTGCATGCCCCTTGCACTTCAGGGAACTGCACGGATTTGGATAAGGACAACAAGAAGTCTGTCTGGGAGTGTCAGTTTGGCAGGAAACACTAGTGACTTTTGGAAAGTATATGCCTTGACTGGAAATAGAGTATGGGGTGTCCTAGACACCAGCCACCAGCACCCAGCAACAGGGGGTACCAGGTCATGCTCTGCCAAGGGGTGGTTAGTGAACCAGGACAGCCGACAGAGGTGCAGATGGTTAGGAAGGGCTTCCTGCATGTAACAGAAGTGCGCTTACCACAATTTTCACTTCCAGTTTGCTCCTGTCACTTCTGTTACTTACTCATTCCTCTTGAGACACTCCATGCTTTTCAGCCTAGGTTTGTCCACACCGTGTCTTCCCACATGCCTTTGCAGATTTCAACCTCTGTCCTCCCCTGTCTAGCCTCCAAAAGGCCACGTTTTAAATTTAGGATGGGAGAGGATGTAGTCCAGTCCACATGGGTGGTGGAAGCTGTGGCGGCCATGTCCCTGCTTTCCAGGCCCAGTGCACAGTGAGGGAACTTGCTCTCGTTGCCATGAGCTGGGCTGCTCCGTGAACGGCACGAGCCATGTTCCTCGCATTGCTATGCGGGGTCCATTCTAATCCTTGGTGGGCTTCTATCATTTGAAATTGAGTCTCTATTTGAGATTTATTCAGAAATGACACCAGGACTGGGGAGCTGAAAGTAACCAAGGCTAAATGTGGGACAGGTTGAAATGAGGCAGAATGGCCAACCACAAGAGCGACCCACTTAGGGCCAAGCAAGGCCCAAGACTGCTAGCATAAAGCCAAGGGCAGCTTCCCTTCCTGGACAGTGCTGCCCATTCTATGTGATGTCCCACAGGGGCAGAACACACCAGTGCTGCTAGTCTGTAGCCCGATTTTCCCTTGTAGTATCTGCTTCTGCTTGCCATTCTAGCCCTGGGTCTCTGGCTTCCACAATCCCTGGCTCAGCCTCCTCCTCTCCAAAGGTTCTTCCACAGCTCAGCTTCTAAAATATCAATCCATCGTGACAAAGTTGTTTACACATCCCTCTTCCTGGGAGTCTAACTGCATCAAGACTCAAAGACGATTCACTATTGGTGATGTCACATGCATTCTTAGGAAGAGTCACACACACAGCAGTAGGGTGCTGCCCACGCCAGGAGACCTTGAAGCACTTCACAGGCCCCACTCACCCTGGACTCGGGATGACCGGCTGACACTTCATCTGTGCAGTCACCAGTCTGCCCTTCCAGCACAGTCAATGGCTTTTTCCTTTGTCCCCAACAGCACTCTGTGAGAACAATCATCTCACTGTATAGACATGTTTTTTAAAAATGTGCATGTCTTTGGGCGGAATAAACTTTGGGCAAGGACTTTTTGTCTTTGTTTTCGTGTGTTTCACACAAAATGGAACTTCACGAATTCTTTTGTGGACTGACACAATGAATTATGTGAACTGCTCCATTCCATTTTCCTCTTGAATGGAAAGAAGTCTCCAGGGAAATCATCTCCAAAGCCACACAGTTTAGAGAAACCCTTGATCTTGAACTGAGTCACGGCTGGCAAAGGTGTGCCCAGCTCTACCTTCTCTTTCACCTGTTACAGGCCTCCATCTGCAGTGTGACTGTTTCTCCACCATAGAGCCCATGACCTTTTCATCACAGCAGTCCATTCAGGTGCCCATTGAAGGAACTGGTGTATGAGAGCAACAAATGTAGCTGCTGGGATGTCTGAGGTGGGCCAAGATATCTGTGCTGCCACTGCAAGATGCACCCAGAATGCTCAGACAGAGCCTACATTGATACTTCCTTTGAAGTTCAAGATACTCCCCTAATACAATGCTAAGATACCAGTTAACTTAGTGGGCAAACAGTTAGTCCACCTGGGTACTCCTTGCAATGGCCGCCTGCTTTCTAACTGGCCTTGGCTGTTTGAGGTGAGACATTCTGGCCTATGATGGCTCTAGCAGTGGTAAGTTAAATCGCCATAGCACCTCAAGCCTGTGTGGAGCAGCTGGTGCAGGGAACACGGCTACAGACTCTGGAGCACTGCTCCTAACTTGCAGGGCTGCTGTAAGGACCAGACACACTAACACAGGTGGGGAGGCTAGAGCAGAACCTAGCATGTGGCATCAGCTACTATCGAGTCCCCTTCACCTGAGGGGTGTGCTCCAAGACCCCAACTGGATGCCTGAGATGAAGGAGAGTATTAAACACTAGTAACACTATGCCTCTTATCCATACCTAGGAGAAAATTTATTGTGTCAAATAGGCCAGCAAGAGATTATCATCTGTAAGAGATTATCAACAGTAAGACAGCACAGTTACAAGAAAAACCTGTAACAAAATCCTTAGCATTACCACCCCCATGCCATGGGGCCATCCTTAGATAAAGTGAGGGCTGGCCAGCCATGGCTCAGCATCTCAGTGATGGTGGACCAGGTAACTGAGCCAGCTTCCAAATATCCACAAGACTCTGGACAGAAGGATACCTTGGGTTCCCAGGCAGGAAAGAGGGCGACAACATATACCACCATGTTCCAAGAACAGTGCACAGTTCAAAACTTATATTCATTTCTGGACTTTTTCACTATTATCTGGGCTAAGTCTAGGAAAGTGAAACTGCTGAAAGTGAATCCATGGGAACTACTTTAGTATTATGACGCCTGGGCTCCTAGTAATACAGCAATTATCAATTAAATAAGGATTGGCTATGAGGGCATGCTGGCCTACGAGGCAATGATTTTGTTATTAACAGCAATGGTATTGCTAACAGGCTACTAGAACAGGCCTGACTGGGTGACAAATTGTGCCTACACTGCCAATTACCCTGGGCTATTAGCAGACTCAGAGAGGTGGGAAGCCAATTACATCCTTCTTTGCTCTGGCTGCCAGGAACTACCAAGACACAGTTCCTATCGAACCCTAGAAGCTTTCTATAGTTTAAGTTTCCAAATATAATCACTTTTTTAAAAAACTTGGCTCTTAGGTTTTTATGTTACTACAGCTTTGAGTATAACTACCTTAAATCTTTTTTTGTTTTTTGGAATCAGGCAGAATGTAAATAAATATAAAAGCATATACATTTGTCAGATTCTTGGGGCTGAATGTTAGTCAAGATGTGTCTGCAATGATACATCATCTTTTCATGTGTTACGCATACCCTAGTCATCTATGAATATAAGGCAGGTCCCAAGCCACCACTGCAGAGATGCCAAGAAAGACATCCGCTGTGCTGGCACTTCCCTGTCAAGATCCCCGCCCCCCCCCCTGCCCCACTTCCTGACCCTAGTGTCCTATATCAGTAAGAAAGGCTAAAGAAATGACCAGCAGGAGGAAGACAGCAATGATCAAGTTGAAACTAGTTCTCTTTTTCATCCTCAATTCTGTGTTTCTTAGAATCAAAGAGCTCAGGGGTTCAATTCTCTAATTTCATAGCAGGAACTAAGTCCCAAGGTGGAGAGTAACTAGCTGAGGCTTACATGTTACCAAAAGCCAATCTGATTTTCAGGCCTGTGTTCTTTCCAAAATTCCCCTTTCCAAAATAGAAGAGGAAGACACTGGCTTTGAGGGACCGATTTAACTTTGAAATAATTGAAATTTGTTTCAGCAAACTGGAGGGCTGTTTTGAAAACAATAGTGACCAGTTTCATAAAGCTCGAGGAAATATTTTTACTATCAAACTTCACCTACTAATGAAGGCATTTAAGACATACTCATTTAGAATCATGGGCCAATTCCAGAATCAGAAAGATCAATCATTTATTCAGCCAGCATATACTTCCTAGCTACTGTATTCCAGGGAAATATGGGGGCATGAGGCTGTGTTTGCTAGGTCTACGTCTAGGTCTAGGTCTAGGTCAGACACTAACATACTCTGCTTCCCTACACTGCCTTAGGTGTTTGTGTGCAAACCACTAATCCACATGTTCATCTCTCAGGCTGAGTCTGGAAGTGGCCTCATAAATCCTGCCCAGCACAACCCTCCAGACAGCCATGAGCACCCAACAGAAGTCAAGTGTATTTGTCATCCTGGACCTGCTAGTTACTATGTGCCAGTGCTATGCAGTTTGAACATTTTCTGTGTGTTTGTTTTTGGAACAGCGGTCTCTGTGTTGCTCAGGCTGTAGAACTTCTGGGCTCCAATGATCCTTGTCTCTCAGTCCTGAGTACCTGGGACTGCAGTTTCACCCCACCACGTCATGCTAAAGTTATAGATTTGAGAGCTCTGCTTCTCCCTTCTGCCCCCTCCACAAGAGAAGATGAACATAAATTCTCCCATTCAGTGAAGTTCATGGAACTAACGGATATGGAACAATCCTGGTTCCTGAGAGGACCCCATATAGCAGTGAAGCCGAGAAGAGGTTCAGCTCCCTTTTCTTGAAGCTCCCATTCCAGCTGGGAACACAGCCCGCTCCCTATCTGGTATCTGTCACCACTCACAGTTGCCATCAGCTGCTGGGGGATCAAAAGCCAGAGGGTGCACTTCAAAGCAGCCGCTTATCATGCCCAGGCTGTGCCATTCCTGTAGTCCTTCCTGAAGTGAGGGGAGGAGAACACAGCTTCTGACCTCACCTCCGGGCACCAAAGGCAGATGCAGCCTCCTCTCCTCACTGTGCCACTGAAGCCGCCTTGCTAGCATCTGGTTGAAGAAGAAACAGAAGCGAGACTTTGCTGCCTCTGCCTCTGACCACTTTACCTCTCGGCCATACGCAAATGCAGATCTTGTGGGGTGTCAGGAAGGCGCAGGCTGGGAAGCTGAACATCCTCACCCCCACTAGGATGCTCAGAACGGTGTCAGGGGGTCACACACTGGCAACTAAACACCCAGACCCTGGAGAGGACAACTACTTTAAGAGCACAGACACAACTTGCAAGGCAGGCACTTATGCCACTGAGCTAAATCCTCAGCCTTTTTTTTTCGTTTGTTTTTTTTTTTTCTTTTTTATTGGTACTGGGGATCGAACTCACAACTGTCTGCTTGCAAGGCAGGCGCTTATGCTGCTGAGCTAAATCCCCAGCCCCGCACAGACACAACTTGACAGAAGAAAAGTTATGCTAACTAGAGAACTTCCAGTCTCTGCAGTCACACTTTGGAACTCAACTGCTTTGAAATGTGAATTTGGTACATAAAAATTTTGTCCCAATACTTTTGTTTGGTATTCAATGCATAGGCTGTACCTATCAGTGTCCCTGTGTCTTGTGAGATGCTACCCTAAAAACAATTGGTTGGGTACTCACCATTCTGGGGACTTGCCACTCATCTTGGCACCGATCAACAAGCAGTACTGAGGTAGCACTGTGCGCCTCTTGGCTGAGTGATGCATTCAAATGGGACTGTGTTTTGTGCTAGGCATGTGGTGGTAGGTAAGCACTGGGGCATGGAGGAAGACCTGGCTTCCCTCTGCCCTGCTGGGTTTAGATCTCCCAGAGAAGGTGCACTGCAGTAGTGCTAAGCCCAGTGCCAGGATTAGGGAAGGGAAGGTGTGAAGCTGTACGAAGAGCACAAGACAGAGCGACCTGGGACCTGCAACTCCACTTCTGGGTGTACCCCCAAACTGAAACCCAAGCTCACATGACAACTTGCACCAGGGTGTAGAAGGCTCACAGCAGCCTGTCTCACAATACCCACAGAGCAGGAAAGGACCCCACTGGCTGTCAGTGTGTGGACAGGCGAACAGAACATGCTGTGTCTACACCAGGGAGCCTCACTCGGACTTCAAAGGGAATGGCATCCTGCTGTGTGCCGCAGCGTGGCTGCTGTGTGGAAGCCTCATGTCAAACAGAAGCAGCCAGTCAGGGACCACACACTGTGGGATTCCATTCATGCGAAATGTGCGGAAGAGGCAAATCTGGACAGAAACAGAAAGAAGACCCTCTGTGCTTAGAGCAAGTGGGGGCAAGGAGCACGGGGCTGGAGACAGTTGGGGCTGCCTGTGTGGAGTACCGGGCTTCTTTCTTGGGTTATGGTAATGGGTGCATAATTTGATTTTTTTTGTGGTCTTGCTATGCAGTCCACACAAGCCTGGATCTCACTATGTAACCCAGGCTGGCTTCCAACTTATGGTGATTCTCCTGCCTCAGCCTCACAAGTAGTGGGATTACAGGTGTGTGCCACCATGACTGGCACAACTCAATATTTAAAAAATGATCAAATTGTGTATTTTGAAAGGATAAGTTGTATGATGCATGAATTATATGTAAATAAAGTTGCTAGCAAAAAATAAGAACAGTAAAAACAATGCTATAAAAGCTCAAAGGAGGAGTAAAACACTTCTGAAAGCATCATAAGGTAATTTAAGTATTAAGTTCTGAGAAGAAATAATTAACTGTAGGTGGAGTTGACAGGAACAGGGAGTGACTAATGGTCAGAGATGCTCTGGGTCAGTGAGTAAATTGGCTTGGTTAACTTCCTGGCCTTAGTGCAGTGAGCACACACACAAAGTAATTCTAGCTACTCAGAAGGCTGAGGCAGGAGGATTGTGAGTCTGAGCCCAGACAGGTCAAAATAAACACCACCTTAAAATAAAAATACAGGGAGCATATGGGAACTTTACACGGGGAACTAAGGATAAGATGCAGAAATAGCTGGGCAGGATTGAGCTAAATTCGAAGAGCTGGGTAAGTGTGGAATCTATCAGCTTTCCCAGTGCTCCCGGTCAACAGGGATAACGGATTGAGTGTGCCTGATTACTTTCTAGGAGAAGTAGAGAGTCCGGAGTATGTTCACACTCTCTAGGACTGGGAAGAGCCAGATGAGGGACAGGAAGGAGTAGAAGGGGGCTCTCGGGTACCCCAGGAATCTTATCTTCCACAACTGCTGGCCTGTCTATGCCATTTTAGAACTGCATCCAGATGGGAGGCATGTGTGAATTGCACTGGGCAGGGACGGAACAGGCTCCATGAGAAACTGTAGGACTTTACCAAGCAGGAACTTTAATTCCACTTAAAATCATTAACTTATTTCCCAAAAAGGCTGAAAATATTCAACAAGGTGCTCTGAGAATCTCCAGTTTTGAGGTCGAGTTGGGGTACATTTAGGTATACCTCACTTGGCATGACATGTGGCTCTATCTGGATGGTATTTTTTTTCAAGTGATTTCTTTAGAGTTTATATGTACTACTTATACTAGAAAGAAATGAAGCCGATTTTCTAAAAGTGTTTTCAGAAAGTCTGGGATCTTTTTAAACGTTATGCTTTCTTGTCATAATAATTTCTAAGCAAACACAGGCAATTACACAGTCCCTGGGTGGCTCACCCTGAGGCCATGCTCCTGCTCACACGCTGTCCTGTGGAGCTCTCCCCAGTAGGATGGGAGCCACTCCTCCCTGCCACTACGAGGCCTCCAGCTGAGGGCCACTGAGCATCGCAGAGCAGGCAGTGGACTTAGGAACTGAAGCTGGTTAGTGGCTGCAGTAGAGACCATGGGGTCCAGAGTGCATCCACGTTTGATCACATCTGTGAGAATTTACTCAGCCACTGCATCCCATTCCCCCTGCTCGCCAGGCAGGTCACAGACAGTAAGCAACACAGTTCCTTAGGGGTCAGAATTCAGGGCTGTCGAGGATAGGAAAGCCTGGCATTGTGGGCCAGAGGGGAAGAACTTCTGACCCTCATGCCCAACAAGACCAGGGTATCAGTGGCTCCAGGGTGGCCCCAGCCTACCATGGAGGAGACCCCACAGCACCCTTGGGCCGAGAGGCTGGGCTCTCATGACTGGTGGGTTCCCATTTAGTGGCTGGAGGCTGCCCTCCCAGCAGCAGACTCTGAGTTCCAGACGAGGTGTTTTCCTCACCAGAGCCCCTGACTCCTGTGGACTGTGAAGGCTCACAGCCTCACCACTGTGTCCAGGGAAATAGGCCTCAACCACCGTGCTCCAACCCCAAGGCCAGGGCAAAGTTAACTTCACCAGAAAAGTGCTTGGGGGAAGGTGAAGATGTGGGCAGCTTAGGGGTAAAACGAGATGATCATTAGGGCTGGGTACTACTGTGAGTTCAAGACCAGCCTGGACTACAAATGAGAAGCTGTTTCAAAAACAAACAAACAAACAAAAATAATCATTAGGAAAAGAGCAAATGCTCTGAGGCAGGGAGAACACTGGCTGCATACGGTTTAATTGCACAGGTTTTTGTTTTGCTCCTTTCCCTGGGAAGTGGGGTTGACCCTGGAACCTCACACATGCCAGGTATGTGCCCTACCACTAAGCAACGCCATGGCCCAGGACAGCTCTGGTCTGGTCTCCACCTTCCAGAGCTTTGTGTCTCTGCAGTGAAACCTGAATAAAGCTGCTAGCAAGATCTGCTGGCTACACAGTATAGGAAACACTCCCTTCCCCCAGAAAGCTCAACTGAGCAAGGTTCAGATGGCAATGATAGGGATGTTTATGCACACACACTCTCTTCTGCTGCTGTCTACTTTTTCTTAATCCTAATAAAACCCACAGATTACATTGGTGAAATCCAGACAGCTTTGAGATGGGGCTAGGGTGCAGCTTAGTGGTAAGCACTTGCCTGGCATGCTTGAGGCCCTGGGTTCTATCTCTGGCACCACATACGCACACACATACATATGCACTGCACCAGTCAGCTAATCAGGATCACTGGACATTCAATAAAGTTGTCAAGATGTCACACCAACAGTAGTACACTGACTAGTTTTTTGAGGCAGGGTCCCACTATGTAGTGCAGGCTGGCCTTGAACTTGAGGTGATCCTCCTGCCTCAGCCTCCTGAGTACTGGGATCATGGATGTGTGCTACCATGCCCAACTTAATCATGACTGTTTTGAGTGAAGGGGCCAAGGAAGTAGCAGTGACAGAAAGGACTGTCTGATCTGACCTTTTCTTGCTTGTAGCAAGCTATGGCATTTCTGTGAGAAAGACGCTTTCTCTGCACCAAGAAAGGAAATAACTTATCACTAGTGATCAGGCCAAGTCTGCAAAGGATCTGTACAAATAAACAAACTAAAATAACCCTTATCAGCCTGATACTGGCTTCCTTAGCATTTGCCACCCAGTCCAGACCCATCTATCTTATGTCTGCACAGACACAGCACCCCTGGTCCGAAAGGTTTATGAGCTATCTGCACTGGCTGCATCTGTGGTCTCTGCTCTCCAGTGAGGGTCCCATTTACATGTGGGAATAAAACTTTGGTACTTTTCTCCTGCTCATTTGCCTTTTGCCAGTTCAGCTCCTAGGCTCAGCCAAACGTCCCAGCTAGGAGCTAGGCTGGGTGGTGGTGGTCACTGGCTATGACAAACATGGAGACGCACACCGCCGACACACCCCAGCACCCCAACATCTGTTCATTCTCGGATGCACAGGCCTTAGAGTCCTGATGTGTGTGAGGCGGGTGGAGGCAGCATGGTCACTCAGAAGGGATGTCCAATAACCAGCTTCACACTGCAAGCTGCCTTGCCCCCACCGCAGGCCGCTCCAAGAGATGATTTGTGGGCAGCTTGACTCATGAAAGCCAGATGAATTCACCCCAAGAAGACAAAGAACTGAAGCGGTGCTGAAATGGGAAAAATCAGCCAGAACAGCTGCAGGTCCTTGCTTCCATACACCACCTCCACCCTCTTCCCAGGCTCAGGCTCCGTCTCCCTCGCCTGTGAGCTCCCTGAGCTCCTGCAGCTCTGCCGGT